AGGTAGGACAGAAAGTGACTTCTATACTTTTAAAATTTGCCCAAAATTTAGGAGGTCTTTAGACCAAGCCAACTATAATATTCCCAATTCTATCCTCATACATTTTATAATAACAATACCAATATAAAATTTCCTTTTGTCTAACCTTCATTGCTATATTATATATTTTGTGCTGTAACTCTACTAGACTCTGTTAGAATTACTTCTAAAGATAATCCAGGAATTTGAGTATTAAATGGCTTATCGGATGAAAATCCATTTATTGCATTATCTTTGGCACAAACAGATAATTCACGTGTTAAACCTTGTTCTACTTTTTGATTATATGGAATTTTTAGCACCGTTGTACTAGCTCCCATTATTTCAGAAGAAATGGTACTTTGTGTCTGATTAATAGGTGCTTCTGAAATATTCTGATCAATAGGCATTTGCTCTGATTCAATGGAAGGAGTATCCTGAGAAGATATGAGTGCCTCTTGAGTTTGAGAAGTGAAATCTTCCTCACTTCGGAATAGTTTCTTTTCCCTGTTTATATCTCTCATCATATTACTAACTTTTTCTTTTATTTTTTGATCCAGAAAATCATTGATCTCCTTATCTTCAGAATTTGGCGCATTATCAAAAGATGTATTGACTATCTGTTCAGAGATATTAGAATTAACTTCGAGAGAAATGTAGTTTTGTACTACCTGTATCTGATCTAGATTTACGGGATCAGTGCTATCACCTTCATTAGAATGGCCATTAGTTGGCAATGGAATAGGCATTTGTGGAGAAACTGAAGAGTGCGAAGGATCATTAGTAGTTCGATTTTGCTTTATGATTTGTTTTAGTCTTGTATTTCCGATCCTAAGATTAGCATTTTCTTCTATGATTTGTTTTGATCTAGTATTTTCGGTCTCAAGACTGGTGACACGCTGTCTCAACAATTCTAATTCGGCTTCCATGTTCGCTAATATTTTTTTATATAAGACATAGATATATTCAAAATATCGTAAAAAATATCACGTGCATTCAAATTTGGAACGGAGAAAGAAAAAAATTCATGACTTCACGAATACCATTTCTTCCGAAATAAAAGGTGTGTATTGTTGTTGTATAAAAACGATCTTTCGGAGAAAGTGCACTCCATGCATTAAGCTTTTTTTTTGATGTCAACCAGGAAGAGAGATGGTAAAGATATTTCCGGTGGTATTAAATGTGTTTCATATTCATAATTTATGTGCCTTGGCACTAGCTCCGCTATAATAAATATTGTAGTATAGAATATAACCAAAAAGTTGTTTATACGATTAGCTCTGCTATTAATACACAGTAAAAAAAACAAATTGAAAAATTAATAATTATCTTAGACAGGTCAGTATGCCTATTCTTTTTCATTTTCACAATTCGTAGATTGCAGATAATGGTGCTTCATAGTAGAGAATGGGCAGAGCCCAGAGTCAGTGACTCATAAGTAATTAATTCCGATTTGATTTGTTTCTCAGTCAAAGATATAGTGTATAACCAAATGTTGTTTGTAAATTGCGCAGTCAAAGAAAAATCTCCTATTGAAACATTAATTGATACAGGCGCTAATGCAGATTTAATTACCCAAAAATTTATTAACGAGTTGGGTTTAGTACATCATGTAAATGAAACCAATTGCCACGAATTACAAACTCCTGATGTATCATTTTCCATACTAGGAAGAAACTAGTTTTAATATTGATGGGAAGCACATAAGTACCGATCCCGTTGAATTCTTGGTTGTTGGACCAGATTGGCCTGGGCCTGATTTAGTGTTAGGAAACCCATTGTTGCAAAAAATGGCGCAACAATTAATGTGTGTAATAACTATACATGATAATTTTGCAATCCCAATTTTCCAAAGCAGGTAATATCAACACTCTACTAAAAAAATCTATAATACATTTGCCAAATAACACTACATAGAATATAGTGTCTTAATCTAATGTTGTGTATTATTACGTGATCATTAGATCTTCTCTGTTTTACGAATAAATAAAAGGTATCTATTGCATACATGGGACGGTAATTATTTTGCCAAAACGTAATACGTAATACGTAATTACTACGAAATCAATTACGGGTGACGAAATCAATTACGGGTGACGAAATCAATTACGAATGACGAAATTAAATGACACCCATTATTTATCTTGCCATACTAGTACTAGTATGGGTCTGATTCATTTCGTCGACAATCATTTCGTCGACAGCCATTTCGTCGACACCCATTTCGTCAAAGTTTGTTTCATAGAAAGTTCATTTCGTCGAAAGTTCATTTTGTTGAATGTTCATTTCGTCAAATGTTCATTTCGTCGAAAATTATTTCGTCACAAAAAAAAAACTTCATTAAACAAATTTCTCCCCACACTTCCCACGCACTCCGCTTTCCTCACCTAATTTCTTAACTAACTTCCCACACTCCTCAAATATAACTCGTTCGGTCTCTGGCTCAAGGGTGAAATGAACATTCGATGAAACAAACTTTCGGTGAAATGGGTGTCGACAAAATGATTGTCGACGAAGTAAACACGACCATTGGAAAATTATTTCATTCTTATACCAATCTTGATTGTCATCATATTGTGCGTTGTCGAAGGGAAATTTCCAATCTACCTGATCATTGTAATTGTATGCTTCGCTCTGTACAATTTAAAACGGAAAATGATATCGCTCTTAATTCACTGAAGGATGTGCAAGAACTTCTATCTGAAGATGTTAATCGAAAATTTGATGATCTATCCAAAAAGATTCAATTGCTATACAAAGAGATGCAAGAAAAATGAATCGAGGGAGATGGTTCAAGTATTTTATCAAATATTTCTCAAGGTAGGCGTTGCATTCATCATTTTTTCAGTGTAGCTGGTACAAGGTTTCACGCCTTCCATATCAATGATCCAGATGTTAACCGTTTTGCATTTATCTGTTCCAGCCTCGATCAGTTAGTCGTCTTCAAATACTGCTCTTGTGCAAAAATTCAAGAACCTTTTCGATGAAGCTATTTAAAGAAATTATAAGCAATCTAAAAAAAGAAACAAAAATAAAAGTTATCGGAGCCAAAGCTATTGAAAATTTTTATGATGAAACAGCAAAACCCGATCACAGAACCACAGGCATGATAAAGACTTGGATGCACTTAAAACTAAAGAAAAAAATAAACTTATAAGTAATAGTAACTATGAAGATAATACATATGTAAACTCAATAAGTCAGTCATGTGGGTGTGAGCTCATATGACTGACCTATCGAGTAAACTGACTTATTGAATTAAATTACTTAAATATTAAGAAAATGAGGTGAAAATTTTGGCTGACTTATTGAGTAAACTGACTTATCAAGTGACCAACTTATCGAGTTTACATATGTAATGCCAACGAGATATTTGATTATAATAATAGTAATAAATAGTTTTTAACCTGGTAGAGCCAAAGTATAGGGATGTAGGGGCCGTACGTTCCCTCCCTTGCAACTCTGCCATCTTTCATGAAAAATTAAAGAACTGGCAATTTAATTAATTGTGTTAAAAAAACTGATGATTTAAAGAACTGGTGATTTATATAATTATGTTAAAAAACTGATGGTAGAAATTGAAATATGTAATATGTTTTTCTTTAAAAAATGTTGGATGTTAATGCAAATAAAGTCATTGTTTTTAAAAAAACAGCCTTTTCAAATCAAATGATTTGTTGACTTTGATAATTCACAAAAAAATATATAAATATACTTTGTATTTGATTACTTCAAAGAATTATTCTCAAATAAAACAAATATATAAGAAAAAATAAAAAAAATTATCTATGAAAAAATTATCTATATATGAGAAAATAAAGTAGTTACACAGAAAAACTTTTTTGAATTCAAGCCTTATCTATTATTATTATCAAACAATACTACTCAGAAACTTCAATTTTTTAATTTAAAATGAACAAATTCGCTGCTTTTACCAAAAAATTTGAAGATTCTATCTGTGAAGAAGGTATGCATCATATATGTGTAATCTTTTGCTTATTTCAATTACTCAAAAAGTTATACATTCAATTAAATAACTATAGATTCTGACACATCTTGCACTCACTGCAATTCAAATCAAGATAATGGTAATTTTCAAAATTTTCTAATTATATACAATTTGACTAAATCTTATTGTATTATATATTTTTTTTTTAGGCGAAAATTATCCACATTGGCCCTGTGGGAACACTATTTATAAATATAAAGAAAAACCAAGAGATTGGCTTCAGAGTGGTTGGGCTTTAGATAGTGTCGAATCAAAAAAACAGACCACATATAATGCTCAAATTAATGTTAAAAAATGTTTCGGTACAATTCAATGTGAACAATGTAATGCTCAAACTAGACCAAAAACCAAAAAACATGGGAAAAGAGCAGAAGAGCAACTTGATAAAGGTTGCCCAGTACCTACATGTGATGGTATATATATTAATTTATTAATTAAATATAGATTTTAAATATAACTTAAATAATAATGTATTTTGTATTTTTTGATTCATTTTTGGGTTCTTTACAATGGATTCAGTGTATTGTGAATTGTAAATTCATCACATTAGAAAAACCTGATGAAAACGGCTTTACTTATTATTTATTACACTATGGACATCACACTCATCAAAAATGTTTGCAAAATAAGCCATTTAATCAAGAAAAAGATCAATTAAAAAAACGCATCTCTGCAGCACCTGAAACCTTTCCCAAAAAAATGCAAATGGGACAATCATTGGATAATAACAACCCACTTGCTTCAATTAGAAAAATATCTGAAGCTTTTTCAAACACTGATAGAATTGCTTATTATTGTTTGCAAATAATCAATGAAGAAAACATCATCACCAAAACAGCTTGTCGACATGGAGACAATTTCATCTTGGACATTTTACAATTTCAACAAGACCACCCGAATTTATTAGAAAGGCTGATTTTACCAACAAAGGTGTGATTATGTTACAATCAGATTGGATGCAACAACAAGGCTTTTCAAATAATAACTTTCCAGGCATTATTACAGATAGCACTTACAAATATTTTTCAAATGCTTTCTTGTTGTCCAGGTGCGTAATTGAAAGATTTTAATAAAACCGACTTTATTATTCATTACTCATTTATTTTAATTTGAACAATAGTTCTTTATATTGCCCTCTTCTGGAAAGATGGATACCAATTCTGATAACAGTGATTTTAAAGGAGGATAAAGTCCACTATAAAGAGCACTTTAAATATTTATTTCAGTGGATTGATGACCATTGTGAAAGTGAAACCAAAAATTGTGACGATTTTTTATGCACAGGTTATAGATTTTAGCATGGCTGAAAAAAGAGGATTAATTGATGCATTCATTGAGCATAAATTGGAAAAAATCAAATTATCTTCATATTCTAAAGTTCTCTTAGATTCACATAAAACTATATTGGAAAAAGAAGCATTGGCCTTCTTAAAAGGATGTCAGGAGCATTACAAACAATCTATAACAAGAATTGCACAAAATAGTGCAATTGTAAAACATGAAGATTCAACAAAATTTTGATCAATGACATTAAAGCTCTTAAAAATCAATTTTGAAGATTTTTTTGAACAAGTTGGAGAGATACAAGAAAATTGGCCAAATTCCACTACCTGGCTGGAATGGTGGGTATATACTGATGCAGGTAAAATCCTTTTCCCTGCATTAAGTACTATGGATGAAGGTTTATACAAAAAATTACCAGGTTCAACTAATGCCCAAGAATCAATGCATTCTCAATACTATATGTGTGGAGCTACAAATCAATCCATTATAACAGGTATTTAATAAACAACTTAATTAATTAATTGATATTCCAAATAAATATTAATCTTAAATTTATTTCAATTAGGTCTTGAAAATCTCCTGTTGTTTGTGATGTCCTTGGAGGTAGATTATGAGAATAAAAGTAAAGGCCATTCTTTGAAGTATGGTGAAGAAGAACGATGGAAAAAAGTTGCTGAATTATATGGCACCACCAAATCATCCAAGGGAAAAAGATCCAAAGGTGCTGGTGTAAATGATCGTAGACCACCAGATACTACTGAGGCTCTTTTGAAAAACCAGTCTTCTAAGAACATTGATAAAGATAATGGAGATTTAAGTGTTTCTGATAAAAAAGAACAGAAACAGAAAGCAATTGAACTTCCAAAAAAGTATCAATCCTATCCACATTGGAGAAGTTCATGTTATATTACCTCATTCTTAGAATTATTATATACAAATTATCTTCATACAACTATGTGGTGGACAACAAATGTTGGAGTAATTCCAAGTAACTCTGGACTAAAAAAATTATATACAAGTTTTACCATTCGAGACACTGTCAATACTCCAGGAACTAAAAATGTAAAATCCACTTTTAATGAAGCTCGTGAAATTGTCCATCACCATGTTCTAGAAAAAAAATGCCAAGAAGATAACCAATTTGGATCATTAACTCATTGGTTTGAAAATATTATTTTAAAAGAAAAAGAATCAACAAAGCTTATGTCACAATTTTGTGTTCTTGGATTACGAATATGGTCGTGTAAATCTGGCCATGTCAAAATTTCTCCAACACCTATCAAACCACTGTTTCCAATAAATGGAATTGATGAATTTGGTAGCTCTTTTTTTGAAGATAATCCAAATCTAATAGGCCAAGTCTCTGCATTATTTGCAGAAAAGAATCAATTAATTAGTAAAATATTTCCAGATCAACCTTGTCCTTATAACCGTGCAAATCTTTATCAATGTATTAATCAAGAAATATCCTATGAAGAATATATAATCTTTTGGCCACATACCTTAATATTTGAAATAACTCAAAGAGATGGTCAAAATTATAATTCATCTCATCAATTAGACTTCCCTTTTCAGCTTTGTTATGAAGAAAATAACATCCCTATAGAATATATATTGACAGCACGTGTATATAGCACATCATCAAGTGGACAGCATTTCTACAGTAAAGTAATTCGAAGCTTTAATGATCAAAGTGGTGTTTATAAATATGATGACTGAAATGAAGGAGGAATGGCAGTATTAGAATCAAAAGATTTGACTTCTTTATCAGGAAATAAACCACAAACTGTATTGGTTGCTTATAGATTAAAGGATTCTAATAGTCACTCTATTTATTCTAATAACAAAGCAAGTTAGTATTAGAATGATTAATTAATTAATAAATAATCAATAAAATAATTAATAAACAAATAAATAACAACATCTATTTGCAGAAACTTTACTGGAAAAATTAAACAGATATAATGTAAAAATTCTAAATGAAGAAACTCTTTCAGGAATAAAATTTCTATAAAAAATACATGATTTTCCTGTCACTTATCAAATGACTTTAATATATCATGCATTTTTTCTAGTAATTGAATATTTTTGGGATAAAGGTCACCAATATTACAATACTAACAATGAAGGTGAAGATGATGAAACAATTCAAAAGGAGTCTGAACCTGATTCATATAATAAAAAATATAACAATTAATTAATTCATTGCAACTCGCAACTATTTTATTACATGATAATATATTATATTTCACTAGACCTAAAATTGACACCTCTATAGTTCATTGTAGTAGTAGAATTAGAAAAAATAAAAAAAATAAATTATTGTGTATAAATTATTATTTATTTTATGTATTAATAGTATATCAAAAAAAAAAAATAAAAAACCGCCATCAAAAAATTTTTTTTGCAGGTCCCCGTCCCCTGTGCTTTTCACCATCATAATCAAATCTAGAAAAGGACAGGCGAGTGGCATAGGCGATATTAATATGCGAAAAATCATGAAAAGCACAGGGGACAGGCGAATTTTGCAGATCCCTGCACCCTATGCTTTTCTAGCATCCCTTTTAGTGAATGTAGCTGAGGAAGAAAGGAAAATTCCAGTTCTACACTTGAAATGCGATTTCATAAACAAAACACCACATATTATGATGAAAATCCAACAAATTTAGTTAAATTAACGAATTCGTTTGTTACTACTATTTTACAAATTAAAAATTTTATTTTGAATATACAGTATATAACAGTCAATAAAAATGTGGTCTTTTTTTTTTTCTAATTTTATAGTTGAATCAATCTAATTAAACATAATGAACATCTTTTTAATATTTTTAATCTTGCTCAAATGCTTATTTTTGGTGGTAAGTTCAACTCCAACTGACCCAAGATATGTACATGCTGCTGTTATTGTTAACAATAATTTATATGTTATGGGTGGTGGTGACTCTAATGATCAAGCATCAAAGGATTTTTTTTCTCTTGATTTGTCACAACCATTTGATACAACAACTCCACCATGGAAGGATTTAACTGAAACTTCACAATTGCCAGTATTTTCATCATGGGCTAAAGCTAGTTTCAACACTAATAATGATACAATATTTTTATTTGGTGGTCTTATGCTTGATGCTGTAACTGGTGATAATAATTTGAAAAGTGTGGTTTACACCCATGATTTTAAAAGCAACCAATGGTTAGTAAACCCACCTGCTTTTCAAGGAATGGCACCTGAAAGACGTAGAGAATTTTCAAGTGTTAGTGATCCATTGACTGGCAAATTATATATTCATGGTGGAGCAAATGATATGAAAGTTACCACTACTGTTTTGTTTAATGACTTTTTTATTCTGGATGGAAATAATTTATCCTGGAGTCAAATTGGGAAAACTGGTCTAAATATACCACCTCCTAGAATTGACCATGTTGCTGTATTGATTGCTAATGGAATAATTGTTTTTATTGGTGGAAGAGAAACTATTACTCCTGATGCTCCTCTAACTGCAGTTCCCATGAATAAGGTAATAAATAATAACTATAATGATTAATAAAAATGTGTAGTTAATAATTTAATATTAATTTATTATTTATTTAAAAAAGCTTACATTATATGATACTAAAGCTGATACTTGGGATTTAATGGTAATTATTAATTTATATGAAAAATTTATTTTAATTGGAAAATATATTAATCATTTATTTTTGTATTGATTAGACTATAGTTGGTGGTCCAACTGTTGATGCCCGTGTTGGACATACAGCTGTATATGGTAAATAATAATATTTATTATTTGTTTGTTTCTTATCATCATTTAAAAAAAATCTTTCATTTTATATATTATTTCTTAGCTGCTAATGGTCAAATAATAGTCTATGGTGGAACTACACCTAAATCGGAACTAACACCTACTCCTGAATTAGCTGTATTAGACACAACTACAAAACCTTTTAAATGGATCACACCTCCAGTAACAGCACCAGAAGTTTCTGTCAACTCACTCGCATACCATCAAGCAAACTTAATTGGAGATTATATGGTGCTAACATTTGGTAAATAAATAAATTAATTGATAAATATAACAATGAAAATATATGTATGTGTATACATATGTTGTGCGTGAATTTGGAATCTGTGTCAATTTGAAATTCACGCGCGTGAAATTCAAATTAGCCAATCAGAATTTTGTATTCAAACACTCACCCCAAAATTT